AACCCTGTTTTGGGCTAGGGTACTCAGCCCCTACCGTTTAGGGCTTAGGGTTTGCGCGTAAACCCTAAACCCTAAACCCCAAACCCTAAGGGTCCAAGGCTTAGTTGCTCGGGATAGGGCCAAAAGCAGCTGGGGGTCGGAAAACACGTCCAACCGAAGGCTCAAAAAGCCCAAAAAAGGCCCTGAAACGCAAGGTTTAGGGTTTAAGGTTCAGGGTTTAGGGTTTATAAACCCTAAAATCAAAATCCTAAACCCTTAACCTTAATTAGGATTTAGGGTTTAGGGTTTATAAACCCTAAGCCCTAAACCCTTAAATTAAGGTTCAGGTGTAGGGTTTAAGGTTTAGGTGGTATCTCAACCGTGAACGCCTGGGGGCCCAGATCCCTCTTCAAGGATAACGGGATTGAGTGAGAAAGTAGGGTTTAGGGTTTAGGGTTTAGGGTTTCAATTTTATCAACAGTGTTTTGAGTAAATCAACCTGCAGTGTGGTGCTTGAAGTGCTAAACTTTATCACGAAGTACCTTGATCCTTCAAGTGAGGCCCAAAGCCTAAACCCCGAGCCCCAAAGGGGCTGATATCTCCATGAAACCCCCTTACCTTAAAGCCCTAAACCCCTAGATCCTATACTCTAAACCCTATAAACCCTATAAACCCTATAAGCCTTATAAACCCTATAAACCCTATAAACCCTAAAACCCTCTGAGGAGCGCGTCCTGAAATGGTTCGAGAACTTGGACACATGTAACCAACACATCCGAGAGAAGGTCAAAGACCAAGTGCTCCTCGGCTGGAAGGGTTTTTGGGTTTAGGATTTGGAAGTTTCCGAAAATTAGGGTACCTTATTTGGGGGTCCTTATAATAGGGATCCCATTATTAATTAGGGTCCCCTTATTTTCGGAAACCCCCATTTATCTCTGTTGATACCTTCAAATTTATTATCTATATCGCTTAAGATATTCAAGAAAACATCTATTGCTTCTTAACTAGCAAGAAACATGGGTTAGGGGTTTTCGGGGTTTTGGGATATAGGGGTTTAGGGTTTAGGAGGGGTTTAGGGTTTAGGTAGGGTTTAGGGATTTAGGGATTGTGGTCTCTCACTGGGGTTTGGGATTTAGGGTTTAGGGTTAAGGGGTTTAGGGTTGAGGGGTTTCGGGGCCGCTCGTTCAGGGTGTGCTTTTCTATAACGGCACTACTGTTGATGGCATAACATCCTGCAGAACCTTAAGGACCCTAAACTATGGGAATTCTGGTATATTCCTTATGATGGGTAATGCAGGATTTATATCATCAACCGTGTCAGTGGTCCGAGAAGGGTTCTACAATGTTCGAGGATAGTGCGGAGTCGTGGTTCTACGAGGATCTAAACAGGGGTTTCGGGTTTACCTTAAGAACCCCAAACCTACTTTTTTTGTAGGTTCTTATTATAAACCCTAATATGGGATTTATAGGGACCCTACAAAAAAGTAGGTTTTGGGTTCTTAAGGTAGGGGTTCATGGCATAATCCCCTCCAAACACACTTTCACCAAGTTGCAAGCATCCCCTTCCCGTAGACCCAAGACCCTAAACTCCAAACAAGAGGCCGCAAACCCTAAGCCCTAGACCCTAAACCCTAACCCCTGAACCCTAAACCCTAAACCCTAGGCCCCATATTCACAAACCCCAAGCCCGAATCCTATAGCCCTAGACCAGCCTACATCCTCAACCTTAGTCCTAAACCCTATAGACCCTATGTGGGGGTTCCCGAAAATAGGGACCCAAATATAGTACACCAAATAATCGGATCCTTAATATAAAGACCCCAAAATAAGGTACCGCTAATTTTCGGAATCTGCCATGTTGCTAAACCCTAAACCCTAAATTTAAAAAAACCCTAAACCCTAAACCCTGGGCCCTATATATCACAAACTCCCAAACCCGAATCCAACCGCGCAGCCGTCCTGATCAGGTTGGCGGTGCTAGGCCCAAGCCAGCACTATCCGACAAGGCCTGCAAGGGTACTTAGGGTACTTAGGGTTTAGGG